GAATGAGGGTATGTAAGGCCAAGATTAGTGTGCACTCAGTAATCCAGAATGCAAAAGCTTGCACTGTCTATCAGGAATTCTTCTGTATTAATACGCCAGGCACCCACCTCCATTTCAACTTGTGTTCTAGAAAGGCCACATAGGAAAACAGCATGCTATAGCAATAGCATGTTGGCCACACTTAAAAAAAAAAAAAAGTACACAAGTGGAACATTAAGGTAAGCACCATCCTTGGCAGCCTCCAATATGAATTATAGGATCTTTCCAACCTATTTAGCGAGGCTCTTTGGGATGGGACATATTTCACAGTGCTGAGTAGAAAACCAGCTCCTATATTAATAAAGCCAGTTGCAAAGATAGTCAGCAGTTTGTTTTTTTTTTAAATCAGAAATTAATTTGGAGAGGGAGGAATCATTCTACATATACTTAGATGTGACTGATATACTCTAGCTAAAATTATTTCTTTCAACATGCAATTGGAGTAGTTGGATGACCCCCAGCTGGAGTTGGCTCGTAAGCAGAGTTACTCTAGAAGCATACCTGTTTGAAGAACTGGGGGTAGAAAAAATATCAATGGCTGGTGTAGTCATTAAGCTTCCTGCTACAGTTGACACAGGAGAAGCTGCTGTTGTTAAAGAGGTATGAGGTTTCTTTGCAAGTTCTTTTAGACGTTGTTCCTGTTGGAAAATTGAGCTGGCATAAGAAATCCAGAAACAAGATTTGTTTATAGGGCACAGAGGTACATAAAAAAAAATTCTTGAGAATTTTTACTCACTCCATACAATAACATCAGGGCGTTTTGTTTGTTTTACACAAATTCTTTGTATACATACAAGATAAACATTTAAAGAATAAGAGGATGTTCCATATCTTTGAAACAAGTTAATTGATAAGCCAATAAGCAAGAAGAATAGTACATAATCCCAGGTTCTTGAAAATAATACTAGATAGCAAGTAAAATACTATACATAATTTGAGGATTCTAACAATTTAAGACAGTGCACATATTAGTACCATATTGACTCGATTCCAAAATGAAGCTTTCCCTCATATAACATGGTGGAGGGAGGGTCCCTTGGCATAGAATCAAATACCAGGATATGGGGGGCAGCAGCTGCTGCAGCTCCAGCTCCACCCCGTATAGGTTTGGTATCATAGCTGCAGCTGCTGCCTGCCCTGCCCCTGCACCCCGCCATCTCCCTGCAGCATCTACCCCCCAGTCCCCACTGATCCCCCACCTTTCCTCTGTGCCAGCAGGCTATAAGCACACTGCAGCCTAGGGTGCTGAGCCTAACCTGTAGCAGTGACGGTCACAGGAAAGGCAGAGGTGGCAGGGGGCAGGCACAAGAAGGGAGCAAGCTGCTTGACCTCCCCCACACCACCGATAGCCCCCCACTGCTCTGCCCCCCCAGTGATGGGGGTATAAATTAAAGATCACCTGCCAATAATTAGGTTCTATACATGAAAAAATTGTAACCCATTTATACATTTTCCATATATAGAACCTAATTATTGGGGGTGAAGGGTCTTACATTCAGGATCATCTTAAAATTTGAGAAATACAGTACATAGTTAAATAAACAACCTTACTACTGGATAAGAAGACATGCTTACCTTTAAAGCTTTTAAACGAGCCTGTTCTTCCTCTAATGCAGCTTGCTTTTCCCTTTCATCTACTTTAGTGAGAGACAGGCCAGTACTTGCAAGGGAAGAGACTGCATTGGAAAGGGTAGTAGCCCTAGAGTAATTGGACAAAGGGAGGGAAAAACTGGCTGTTCATGCATGACATGGGATGGGAATACCCGATTAGAAAATGCTTTGCTTGCTTTTCAGATCATTTATAGAAGGTGCACTTTTAAGCCAGTGACATACAAAACAGTTTACAAGAGTCAGCAACAAGTAAGTGGTTTTTGGTGATATCTTTTGTTGGACCAACAATAGTAGGAAGAGATGTTAGATAAGAATGGGTGCAAAGTGATCTGAAGTCACTTCACATGAGTTCATGCTTGTAGTTTTGTTCCATTTCTCTGCTAAATTGTAAATTGAATTTTCACAGATCTGACGTGCACATTTTGCACATGCATAGGAAAGTTTTAATACCTTAGGTACTATTTGTAAGTACATTTTGAATTAAATTCAAAATTTTAACATAAGCCAGATATTAAAATAAGTCTTTGGCTAGAAAGAGACACTGCCCATTAAAGAGAATCAACTGTGTTCCAGCACAATTGATCCCCTTTATTGGGTGAAACACATTGACCCTTGTCCCACCCTTTATGATGCAATCCCAGGGGCAATGTGATCTCCCTGTTTTGCCCTCCAGCTGTCTACCTTGCTGAGTGGGGAGGTCAGGCTGAGCGCAGAAATGCTTTTCCCCACTTAACCAGACTCACTTCTGTGATTGCTGGAGACTGGTCTGGCTGAGTGGGGAATCCCGACATCCCCCACATATGGAAAGGCACCCCAAATGCCTTGGCATGTCTATTGTTTTATTTTGTTTTTTAAAAATTTGATGACAAGTTGAAAAGTAATGCAAAGAAAATTATATTTACAAGTAACCTATTTAAGACTAAACATTACATTCTGTATTTATTTGTATACCACACTCCGTTCCACACAAAAAATTAGCCTTCGAACATCAGGGTGAGTTTGACTGGGGAAGCTGATTTTCTGCCCAGGATAGGCAGCAGAGAAATGAGGTAAGATAGCTGTTGCTGATTTTAATTCTATTCCTTCCAGTAGCCACAAGGAGGCAGGGGCAGAACCCAGCAGGAACAGATTTGGGGGATGGAGAGGGTGCAGTTGCACCCCATTTTGCTTTCTGCTCCACCCAAAGTTTAAAACCAACTGTGTGGCGGCAGCAGTGGCATTTCTATTCAGGCAGTGCTAAGGAAGTCAGTTGACTTCATTAGCTCATTATAATCCACCTCCTTTCAGTTCAATCTTCACTCCATGGATGTTAACCTTCTTAACCTTCTCACCTTTAAGAGTCTTGATGTTCCACTAATCAAACTATCCTTTCTTCAGCAATTTCTGTCTGTTAGGAGAAGAGACCAGGAGTAACTTTCACTGCCCTGCAGGCTATTTTTAAGCTCTTTGCGAAATTCTAGATCTATCAATGAAGTCCAGTCATCGTCAGCAGCTGGTTTCAGCTTTTGTCTGAGTGACCAAGAGCTACTGACAATTCAGCTGCAAAAGGGTTAATACTGTACTTCCTGGCTGAGCAGAAGAGAGGGTGAGGGAGCTGAAGATTATGCTCTGTCCCTGCCTTCCCAAAAACAAGGTGCATGTCCTATTTAAAGGCATGCAGTATGAGGGAAAACAGTTTAATGTTTAATTTAAATTAGGAGCTTTCCTCTCAGTACCGTGGTATTTATATCATAGGTTTTGCATGACCTGCTCATGATTTTATATCTAGAAAGGGAACCATGTTTTATTAAGTGTTTAAATAGTGAACAGCCACAGATATTAAAATCTTACAGGCATGCCTGGATGTTGAATACATTTCAATATCTAGTACTGCTAACTAGACATGGGCAGCTTTCCAAGCAATAAGCACCATGAGTTCCATAGCATTCACTTAAGTTCTATCATTACATGAAAGGTAAAGACACTTTTCCAACATTAAGTTATAAAAGCCACTCACAACATACATATTGAGTGGCTGTTTCTGTACTGTGGCAGCAATGTCATGTTCGTGGCATTTAAAAGAAAGCGGTTTTTAAGTAACCCATCTATTGGCTATGTAACAGTAATAGTATACATACCTGCTTGCAGCTGTGGAGTCTTTGATTTTCTTCCCATCCAAAGAGGCTAAATGTTGTTCCAAAGCATCAAGAAGACTGCTTGGTGCCTGCAAAAGAGCAGTGAGGGAATTGATATGAAAAATCCAAAACAAAAAACAGACAACAGCTGAAAGAAGAAGCTAATACCCTATTCCCCCAGTGCTGGAAAGTATAATTGAAGTGAAGTGGAAGTGTCTAAAAACACCAAACCAACAAAGAAAAACCACAAAGTAATGCTAAAATTTCGCTTTCAGTAGAGAAATCATTGAGCAAAGCATTTAAAGCATCAGGCAACATAGTATTCACCATCCTCCTTTGGTAGTGTTATTGGTCACGATGGTTTATCATCAAAAAACTACTGAATGAAAGTGTGAAAAAGTGAACAGTAAGAAAAGGCAGGAAGAAAAAAAGTTGAGTAGTCACATTCCAAAGGACACTAAGCAGGAAGCTGGACCAATCTGAAGCATGCATATCCTCTGCAAGTCATTGTAAAGACTTAACTAACATTTTGAAGCCTTCTACTAGAAAACAGCCACATTGCTAAATTTCAACGATTTGCAACTGCTCCATTCTGTAAGTCCACACAGTCAGATCAGTTTCCATCATGCTTTTCAACAGCTTTTAAAGTTAAGGACTGTGTTTAAACTTGAATATTTAATTGTTTGACTTATGTTCTCTTGAAAGCAGAAAACAAAATTGAGTTTAGAACAGAATCCTTAACTTAAAAGCAGAACTGATGCACAAAATATAAATCAACTGTAAACAACTTAAATTCTCATTTATTAGGATCCTAAGCTTGGGAGAACACTAGTCTATAAAAGGGTGCCACTCTGCCCTGCCTGGGAATTAGAATTAAACTTAATCATGAACAGACAACTTATGCAAAAAAGCATAAAGGAAAGACAAAATGCTAAGTTTTTCTGATTATGCAATCCAGAAGCCAACATGCCATGCATTGACACATGCATAATTTATCTACCTGAGAAAGATCTGGAATGTCTCCTCTGTCAATTCCAACTTGCTGCAATAAAATAAATACAATGAGCTTCAGAACCATCCTTCTGCTTGCTTATAGACTTCAATGCTCAAAGAGAAATCATGTTAAAGTGAAATAATACAAGAAAAGCCAAAGCCATGTGTAATTGTGGTTCTGTCTGTAATGAGATTAATTTGGTTGTATAAAAACTGAAACCAGTTGTCTGTTAAATGTACATGCAGTTGTAATGAAGTTGAAATAAAGTTATCTGCTCAGGGTTTATAACTGTGGTTTGTTAAACCCTTCCATTAAGGTCCACAAGAAAAGGTTTTGAGAAAAAGCCAGGAAGTTCAAGACTGAGATATCAGGGAGTCTCATCTCTCAAAGTAGTCTATGGAATTTGAGCACTACTGACATACAGCAAACAGCTGGAAAGAAATCAGCTAACGGAACTGACACAACCCATTTTTCTCTTGAAGATTACAATGTACTCTCCATGATATATTAAATGGGCATCTTTTCTTTTAGCTTGAGAGCTGGCACTTCTGCCATAAAACCATGATGGCAAGGGTTACCTCTGCAACTTTGAGGAACTCTGAAATCCTTGTCATTCTAGTGAGAAACTTCTTGTAAATGTCAAGACCTTCTTTGCACTGGTTCTTTTTCATGTCAAAGTATTTTTCTGTAAATGGGAAAAATACTCAAATCACGTAAGACATTAAGCATACAGTACATGCTTTCTGTTTTAAATGTACAGAAGTAACAGCTGTGACTTAATACAGAAAATATCCAAAGACTTGTTTCGCCTGTCTTGTTCATTGTGGAAGTTGCTATGAAAGAGCCTTGCTTCAATCAGGGATGGAAAACAAGTCAGTCAGTCAAATCTCAGTCAATGTTTGTACATTCTTTCATCCTGTACAAACTAATTAATTTTAAAAAACAACCCGAATGCTGGAGGAGAGATGCAGCCTAAGGTGTTTAACAATTCACTTTTCAGCTAAGTGTATGACAGGAACACCAAGGTCAAAACTATACAGCTACCCCAAAACACCTGGTCATAGAAGTGGGACTATTACATTGGAGGCAAAGTAGAGGTGCACCACAGACAGAATCAGAGATGTGTCAACTGTTGCTTACAAAAGTTCACATCAGATACTGTAAAATGTACCACCTATTCCACCATCTGCCTAACTTCAAACTAACGTGGCTTAGCTACCGCTCTCTGCTCGTAGTTGCAGGCTGTTTAGTGGCAACTCTAACAAGGGACACTCACTCTTCCTTCTAATGTCTAAAACTAGGAAAGACCGAGAACTACTATAGTTTATTAATATTGTCTGTTGGCCTTATTACTGGGAAATTCACTGTAGGAATGCACAGACTATAAAAGTTAGAACCAAAAGGCTTAATTACAAAAAAAAGAGCGAAAATTCTTTAAGACTGCAGTGTAAAAAAAGTGCCAGTTTTGCCATCTGATTCTGCACCATGGTTCTATGGGACAAGCTGAAACAATATTTCCATGCTTTTTTTAAAAAAAGGAAATTGCTTATTTCTCTGGACCTTTAAGGATACTTAGTGATAAAAAGCCTTGAAAGACTAAAATTATTTTATTTTCATTTATGTTCAATGTTTTGGTGCTCTTAAGATGCAAGTGCAGTCTCTTTTCCTGACATTAAAGTACAAACAGCTTACTGAAACAAAGTACTGCAATACTGCAGAACAGAAATATTTACCCAGCAGGTTAATAATTCCTTCATTATATGCTGCAAAGAGTCTGATGGCATCTTTGAAGAGAAGCATGAAGGCAGCATTAATTACACCATTCGTAAGCTCATTGCTATTGACCTAGTGATATTAGAAAAAGAAAAATGTGTGTGTTTAACTGCACTGGACTCAACTTACCAGAAAAACTTTTAGATAAGTTCCAACATTATTCACTTGTTTCATTGATCTCACAATTCATATTTTATTAATAGCCAGCTGAATAGAGGATCAGCAGAGGCCAAACTAAATAAAGTCTGCCCACCAAAATACATGACTAACAGACATTACAGATCAAGACAGCAAGACTGAAAAAATTCAGTAATGTGTTTTAAAACTCTTTAACTGTCTGCACTACTTATCAACTCAATATGACCCACTGGATATGGCCACTTCATGGTTTATGCACCGAGTGGAAGGTATTTTTTGCTATTCAAAACAAGCATATTAGGAGAAACGTTAAAATATTGTATCATCAGGTTTCACAGTGAACTCTGTAAAGGAAAAAAATTCCACCACGTTACTTGATGGTTTGACTAATGGGTAAAACAATTAAACTTACATTGAAATCAAGGAGTGCATCCATCTGATTTTGTATAATTGGTACAGTTTTGAGAAGTTTTTCTGTGTTCATTGATCTCATGACTCCATCAGCCCTGTAATGCAAACACAAGTAAAAAAAAATCCCAATTGAATTTTCCAAAATAATTTCTATTGAAATGAAGTACAAGAGTGGATCAAAACAGTAGTTACAGTTCAACAAAGACGACAGACTTGTGATAGTTAATGTTGTATGGCCAAAGAACTGTAAGAATAGCCATAAGAAAAAACACTTCATGGCCAGAAAATAGTACTCATGATAGAAGCTTCAAAAACTGATCTGTGTTCTAAGATGCATGGAATTCTTAACACCCAAAACGATTACATTTTGGTGTGTGCAATTCATTAGGCAACTACATAAACATTACTAGCTTTATAAAAACTTGCTTCAAAAAACAAAATAATTAAAGTATCTAGAAGAGTCTTCTCAAAAGTATTATAAAAAGTATTTCTAAAACAAGTTACTTACACTTCTCTCATCATTTAAAGTTCTGTTTCAATATTGCTTAAAATCATATTATGTAAAATGCATTAGTTAAGTGTATCGGCATCTTTTAAAAGTTCTCTTTAAATGCCAGAACTAAAACACTGTGGTAGCTTGCAACTGAAGGAACACTGAATAAAGTCTCACAATTAGATTTAATTATGTACCAATTAATACTTGTAGTTTTATTTTTAAACTAGAGTATCATTGTTATTTGGGATTATTTAAACTGGTGGATGCTTCAAAAAGCTATCCAAACAATGCACAGGTTAAGAGAAAAAAAGAAAAAAGGTAACCCAGGGAGAAAGAAAAATGAACACAAGCCATTTATAAGAAAAAAACTGCTTTCTATACTACTCACTAACATAATAAAATTTTATCTTCACCTTTTTTTTTTTTAAATGCCTTGATACTGAAGTCTAAATTTCTACCTCAAACTTTTAAGTTGCAAATTAAAGTCAGAATCCCCTAGACTTGGCAGGGGAAAAAAAAAAAAAATCTTAGGATCACTATTGAAAAAGCCAAATGGGAAAAGTAACCCAAAAACTGGAAGACTAATATATTGCTTCATATTAGAATTCTAATCCAGTAGGTGTGCAGGGATTTGTGATGAGGCCTGAGTATAAGCCTATTTTATAGGAGTGCAGGGAGAGGGCACCTTAAGGACTGGAATCTTTCCTGTCCTTCAAGCTTTTTAAAATAGCTACTAAAGGCATTAATGAATGTGATCAAGGGGGAAAAAGAGTCATGGCCAAGAGGTCTTGGGGTGACCCAACAATCCTATGGAGAACCCAAAGGGATATGGCACAGCAGCTGCTGAAAACTATGAATAAATGCATTTCAGAAATCTAGCTACTGTAGGTTGAAGAAACAGAGCATGCCATGGATAGGAGCACTGACTTTTTTCAGATACGTCCCCAGGGAACAAATATAAACGTTCCAATTAGAATATTAAACTAGTCCCGAAACAAGTGCCATTAAAGTAGCAGTTATCAGGCAAAGTAGTCAGTGCTGAAAAATAGTAAGCCTTTTCGATTTAGCTTTATAAAAGATGATCTAGCAGAAGCTTTCCTGCGTTGGTATACAAAGGGTCCTACCTTCAGCCGAGCCACTTCTTTTAGCTAGTGTCAGCCAGCCAGTACTCAGGCTCTTGGCTATGATGACACTGGGCACAAGTGCAGGATTTGGCAACTGTGTAGTGACACTATGCTGAGCAGAGAAGGCAAAAAGCTATCAGGGCCTGTACTGAGTCACCAGGTCGTATGTCACAAGTGCCTGGCCCATAACAGGACTATCAACTTGTGATGTCACATCTCATTTCAATTTTCTTTGGCATCATGAGTGCCAAGACAGAAAAATGAGTTCTGGCATCCAAGAGATAGGAAAGGTATCTGCTAGCAAGACTCTAGAGTTCCCTCTAGATTAGGGATGTCAAAAATTAATCGTTTAGCCAGTAAGTGCAGTGATAACTGGTTAGCTTACTGGTTCTTCTTTGGCTCAGCATGCATACAGTCTGGCAGGGAAGGGCAGGTGGGATGGTGGAAGAACTGCCCTGTGCCCCAGCAGGAGTCAAGAGGCAGCAGGGTATGCAGAAGTGATGGAAAGAGGAGCAAAGAGGGGAGGGGGACTAGTATTCATAGCTTAAGACGAAGGCAGCCTCATGACTTATAATTAAGCAGTTAGCTGCTGGTTCACAGCCCTCCAAGGGCAGGGCTTCAGGTGGGTAGTGTTGTCTGGCTGGACTTGTCTCTTCCTCCCCTTCCCCAAAGTTAAAAATCTCCAGGATCAACTCTCAGCAGCAGCTATGTCCAAGCTGTTGTGTTATCAGTTAAATCGTTTAACCAATATAATTAGATAGAGGTTAAACAAATATTTTTAGATGACATTTACATCCCTACTCTAGACCAGGTTTGACCAACCTTAGGTATATTTTATGGAAGTCTCCACTTACAAAAGATGTCCTGCAACACTATTCTACATGACTCTATCCTTGACCGATTACTCAAGTTGTCTGAAAACTTCCACAGTCATCTGCTAGCAAGGCCTCAACACCTGAAAGATGAATGGCAGTAAGGAATACATTAAGTCTGATGCTGAATGACCTCCTAATATAGCACAGATGATGTCTGTTTGCAGACAGATGCATAGCTGTCATGTTGCCTGTCAGCACCTGAAGGTTAGATTCTTAAGAGGAGAAGCAGGAATTCTGGATGCCACAGGAATGGCCATGATTTCCAAGCCATGGAAGTCTATGCAAGCTTCTTAAGGGAGCCAAAGGCCTTGGATACGGACAGAAGTTACATAAACCAATTTAAGTGATCAGAAACACCCCTTTCCCTGCTCAAACTTATTGCTGGCTGTGACTGGACTTCAAATTCCAGAGGCACCTGGAAGCAGCCCCTGCCTGTGCTTGGATGCAGGAAGAGTCCTGCAAGTCTCAGATATCTCAGGGCAGCAGGAAGAAGTGAACACAGTCCATGTCATGTTCTAACACCCCCCAGCTTCTGGCCTGAGCCACTGCAGGTATGTGGCTACATTTCCTGAATCAAAAGTAAATGCGTGTCCAGTTATTTCTCAGTTTAAATCTCTGCAGCAAAGACTGAATTGATTCAGCCTGGGGCTTTTTGACTGTCTGTACTTAGCCCTTGTGTACAAAGGTGATTTAGACATGCCCTGCACTTGCCACCTGCCTCTGCACTTTTGCTTACAGGAAAGTATGTTAGTGCACCTCAAGTAGGTCTTACCATGAGCTTGAGGAAAGCACTTCTTGCAAAAAAACCATGCACACGCCTATTACACATCTCTTGGGGAGATGCACTAATTTTCAGCTACCCTTTCATGGGCTGTACGCAAAGCCTCACAAGCTTTCACCCAGACACAAAACCACATGTCTAAGTATAAAATATAGTTTTCTATGCCATTGGATGAGTGTGAAGTCGACTGATAGAAATCCACAATATAGTCTGGAATCTCTTCTGATAAAGTTTGCAGGTTAGTGAGAAACTAACCCAAAGAAAATCTACTTAAAAAGGTCAATGGGGTTTAAAGTTAACTAGCTACATAATCATACTAAGAGTTGCAAAAGGGCAAGTGGGCGCTGCCTGGGTTTTATCTTCCTGCCATTAGTGGTGAAAAGGATTTGAAGACAAGGTAGGCCCACTCCACCCTTCATGTCCTTGGACAAGGTGGAAGGCATGAGGACATCCATGACAATAGACCCTACTACCCAATCTCACATCCATGAGAAGAATGAACACCAACATGGACAATTACTGGAGGTCCGGTTTTAGTTTACTGGTTTAGCCATTACATTAAAGTATGGCAGAAAAAAATTGACTAGCTGCTTTAGATATAGCTTCCATGAAAGCCACTCTGGCTCTATTTAAAATGGAGTGGACAATTCTACCCCACTCCAAGAGGAAGCAGGAGGATTATTCTATACGTACTTGAAGCCATACACATTTCAAGACCAGAGATTCATACAGTCACTTCGAGAAAGGATGAAGACCAGAAGAAGGTACAGCAGGATATTTACCCACACATTTCCCAAATGAGTTGTATAGACTCCAAGGCTGCCAAACTGTAGGACTGTAAAACAGCTTTGCATGTCATGGAACAGCTTTTTGCTATAATTAGGATCTTCAATTAGTGCCTTCACGAACTGCTGCACAGGCATTTTTCCATTATTTTTTCTTTTAACACTATTCCACAAAAAGCTTCTGAAGTAACACATTTGCTGGCAAAGATAACAACAGCAGACAGCAAAGCCTTTTTCAGTCCTATGTAGTATCTAATGGCACAGGAAAGTTTCAGGAATGCGGTCATTCACTTACACTAATGTTTTTAGTGCATGGATCATGGAATATAAACCAACACCCACAGAAACCCCCCAACGTTAAGTGTTCAAATACAACTCATTAGCATGCTTTGCAAGACAGATCTTTAAAAGGTAAGGAAGAACTGCAGCTCTTACCCTCTTTTTACTTTTGTAAAATCAAAAGCCACTTGTCTGTAAGAAACTGCTTTTTCATTCAGATACCTACTATACCTTCTGATAAATGTGGACATGTCATATCCTAAGAGAGAGGAAAAAAAGGTTTCAACAACTAATTCTTCTGCTTTTTTTTTTTTTTAAATAAACAAAAAGTTCTGACCAGGGAACAAGATGCACATGATTGTTTTTTGTCCACAGCTTTTCCTTAAAATTTGTTTTGCACATCCATTCTCATCTCAAAGGATTACAAGACTGCCCTCAATTCTGTGAGAAAAATTACACATTTTCTGTTGAGAGCTGTATATTGTATAATATGCACCTTGCTGCATATACTTAAATTTCCCCCAAGTATCCCCAAATATATCATGCAAGCAACTTAAAGTCTTCTTGACCACCCTAAGCAATTATTTTCCCAGAAGCAGAGAAAGCATTCTTATACAAAGTTTTTGGACATTATGTAAAAGAATTCCTTACAAAGACATTATGCAGTGTTGCTAGTCTGATGAGTAAGTTACCAGAACCAACACCACGGTCCATATTTACTCCTTTTTACTTTAAAAAGGGCCAAATGCCATTGATGTTTACTGCCTATACAAGGGAGCAGGGCACATAAAATTGATAAAAATGCTTCCTTGTGGACACAGGAAAAAAGTTTTATTCTTAGCTCTTTTCTCAAAAAAAAAGGAAGTGGGAGAACCAGATGTTAAAAAAATCTAATAAAGATCTGTCCCTATATTCTATACTACTCTAGCTTTGAAAATTAAGTCGCAACTTGATGCCTGTGCCAAGTCCAGTTTACTATGAAGCCAGAATATGCAGATTTTACTACAATTAACCAATAAATTGGAACAGCTACATAAAAGGTTGGTAGATGCCCCACAACACTGTCCATAAGAAAATTTAGCAACTTTAAGGACTGTTCCATACAGGAACTGAATCACACTGAACTGCAGAAAAAGATTACCATACAGGGAACAATAGTCATCGGGGTCCAACATCAGATCTGTTATATTTACATCAACTTTGCAAAAAGTTCTTAGCTCAAGACACAGAAAATCTACTCATGAACTGTTAGACTGTCATTTTGAAAAAAGTATTCACCTGTTAAAATGTGTTACTTGGGCAGCAAGTGGAACTTTTCAAGACTGAATCCAATCATGGGCTAATTAATAAATTAAAATGCAGTTCAGTGTATGCAGCAATGTTTAAGTCTTCTCGTACATAAAATATATTTTCAATCTAATCTCATCAGGTGCTGGGATAAACTTTTTTCCCTGTAAATTCACAAAGTGTCCAACAGAACAGGCTTCCAGTAAGCCTGGACACCATGCCCTACTGTAGCAACTATTGAGTTGATTTCTTTCTTGTTTGAAAGCACTTCTGAATTAGGAACTGAGCCATTTTTTATATATTTATTCATAATTAATCCAACAAAAGCAAACAAATGCTAAGTGAGCACATTTGAGAAGATTTAAGTACTACCAAAGAAATTCTTGCTTTCACTAATTCCAACAAGCTTCAAAAACAGTCTCCAACAGTAAAGTTTTCATATGAGTCAACATTTTACCTTGTATTAGCTACTAATAGAAACTGAATAGCATAGCCACTATATGGATCAATATTCAGAGCCATTAGGAATAAAATGACTAGAATTCAAGACATCCCTGGTTTCTCTCCCCCACAAAAGTTAATGTTTATGGTAGTCTTTTTTAGAATATAGCAGTGAGCTAAACTATACATGGCATACCGTAAGAGAACTGCATTTGAAGCTGATGTGAAAATTGCTTCTAGAGTTAAATGCACGCTTCTAGAGTTAAATGCACAAGTTAGATCCAATTGTAGAAAAAGCATTTTTTTTTTTTTAAGTGTACACATAATGAAGTTACCTTACCTTGCAACCCACTTTTGTCTAGGAAATTGCTCAAGTTAAACAACGTGTTTCTGGAAGCCAGATACTGGATAAAACGCTAGAGGAAGGAAAGAAACGTTGAATAATTTAGTGACATATTGCCGAGTTGCAATTTTACATAAGTACACACTCTCACTGTTTTGTTACCAGGTTAGTAAAGCCCAACGTTTAGTGTATTTGTTTCAACTCATATTTACCCTCAAACCTATTTGAAAAACTTCAGAACTGTTCAAGGGCAAGAACATCCTGACTATCATTATTAAATATTTAAAAAGTGTCAAATTAAAATATTTGGCCATCCTAATGGATACAATTAAAATAAAGGCTTCTGTGACTGAAGATGTCTGTAGTTGCACAAAATAGATTTCTACAGGCAGAAAACTTAAGATTTATTATTTTCATTATACACATCTTAAAAATTTAAGCCATCTGAGCCTTTAAGCCAAATTTGCTTTAAGAGAATGTGTGGCAACTTCTAAAATCAATGGTCCATGACTGCTAGCCATCTCAAGAAAAATGACATGCACAGGAGGCAGGATATCTTGAATGCACATTTAAATGTATACATTGAGGTTCTTGAATTTGTTGTAGAGAAGAATCATTCAACCATAGGTTTTGAATACATTTGTTAAATAAAAATCAATTAGTTTTCTGTACTTAACATAGCTGTATTGAAACGTAATTGTATTAGACAGTCAGGTAAATGTTTTAAAATTTAACCTAACTATAGAGCAGAGGTTCCCAACCACCAGGCCACGGCCCAGTACCAAGCTGCAGCAGGTTGGCTGCTGGGCTGTGGCACAAGCGCCTGGCTCAGACCCTAGCCTGTTTGCCTGGGTGAGCAGCTTCCAGGGTTAAAGCTGCATGGTGGGGCAGCCCCAGAAGGGAGGCAGCCAGCTCCATGCGCCTTGTTCTGGTCCTGCCGGGCTGCAGTATTAAAAAAGAAGGTGGGAACGACTTCTGTAGAGAGAACACCGATATCAGTTTTCTTAAAGGACATCTGCTCAGCACTTCTGAAAATCTGAAAGAGTACACATTAAGCCACATAAACAATAATTCTGCAGTCAGCAACACACTGGAGCAGACAAGGATTTTAGGATAAAAATTATATTTTTCAAATGCTTGCAGGATGCTCTACACCAGTGGTCTTCAACCTTTAAGTAGGAGATCACCTTTGGCATTTAAAAGCAACCCAAGATCTACCATGCACTGCCACCACCCCTCTCCCCAGCAGGTAAGTCCGTGGGGAGGGAAGGGCCTGGGGGTGGAGCGGCAAATTGAGGGAGAGAGAAAATTTGGGGGTGCACCTCCCCAGCAGGCAAGTTTTACCCAGCTGGGGCCCCACTCAATTTACCCCTGCTCCTAGTTCTGTGGCACCATCCCTCACCACAGGGGTCTTGATCTAGCCTCCTCCTCTTCCCTCCCCCATGGGCTGACCTGCTGGGCTGGGGCACAAGCATATATGCACTCGGGCACTCAGCCCCCTACCACAGCCTTGGATTGACTCCAAGAGGCTCTGAGATCTACCAGTGGATTGGGATCCACTGGTTGGTGACTACTGCTCTACACAAACTTCTAGAAGTTTAACTGAATTTGTTGATTTTCCTAATAAGAACTTGATTTTTTATGTTCATGTTTTACTTATTTCTAGCCGCAAAGAGGGTCCATCCTAAAGGAATATTGTTAGCCCACAACTTTTTTTATACAACCTGGACTAACCAAATTAGCATAGCATTAAAGTAACCACATTGACTCTTGAAGTTAAATCATCTTCAAATTGAAAGAAAAAAAAAAGCACTTGCATGTTAAATTCCTGTTAGGACTTTCAAATTAAATTTTCTAGGTATCCAGTATTTATGTAGCTGAACAACTGCTCAAATTCTCAGAAGAAATATCCTAGAAATTATATAGTTGAAGATGGGTAGTAAATCAGGCCAAGTTTAAATGTTTTTCATCCAATTAAAATGTCTACTATGTGTATGAGCAGTTTGCCCCCTGGTGGCTAATTCTAGCTTAGAACAAAAGGTCCTTTAAGTCTACAACAACTCAGACAGTTGAGCCCCATCTATATTCATTCCACTTGGCCACAACCTAATTCTAACAATGTTTTGTGCCAGGGACACCTTTTGTCTGAAGGCACAAACACATACAACAATGCTTCCTCCTGCACTGACACACACATGTTTACTGTTCCAATAAAATAGGATCCGTTTCCACACAGAAATTGATAATAAAGTATCATGTCCACCTAAAAATATATTTATGTTCTGGCTGCTTTGGTATCAAAGGACCTTTTAAGTTCTGAGTAGAGAGAAATGCATTATACAAAAGTAGTTTGAGTCTTTAGAACTCTAAATCACTGTGTTAAAATTATTCTCAAGAATGGTTTTATTACTTAAAACATATGCATTACCTCATTTCCGTACACCATTAAATGATGAGTTGTGATGAGAGACTTGAAGACCACCACCCAGCTACTGTTTGTAGTTCTTTCAAACAAGCTGTCTGCCAGCTGTGGAATATTCACGTTCATCTCATTTGTGCACTGGATTAAGTCTGTAATACACAGAGGATGGTTTGCTATTTTAGTATTTCATTTAGTGCTACGGGAAGTTTCATACAGGCTCAGTCTACAGAATGGAAGATGGAAATGTACACTTCCAATTTCATTTTTTAAAAAATTTTATGGCCCACTGAGAACTCATGAGCTGCATATTTTAGTCACTGGAAAATTTCGTTTCATGCACAGAATATACACAGAAGGCAATATAAAAGTTGTGCATTAGAAGTAAACTGAATTGGAGATCTGCTCAAGAATATATACACACTATGAATAAAGCAGAGCAAGCTTTTCCATGCTACTTTTCTTATACCTCAACCTTATTGTAAAAAGAACCTTTTTTATGATTAATATGGTTACTCACCTTCCAAGCCCTTCCATCTTTTGCCCTTACTAATACTGTTAGAAGACCAATTAAATATTAACTGCTATCAATTTAGTCACAAATATCCATCTTCTAGAAACTAAAACAAACTATAGTATTCACAAAGATTGCTGAAGAGTCATGTAACGGTAACTTTGGGTTAATGACAAAAGCCAAAGAACTAGGAATCTGGATACAAAAAGTCTTGCATAGCAATGTAGTAGGGCTGGAAGATACAGGAGGTGAGGTTTTTTAGGTTTTTATGTTTGGTTTTTGGTGGGGTTTTTTTTTTTTTTTTTTTTGGAGGGGGGGGGAGAGTGTTGGGCTCAATTATAGAGCTCTATCTTACATCTTATTGTAATATTAGAATATCCCCAAGCCAGTAATAGTATTTTTCAAAATCTCAGCATATTCCCCTTATCACACATGCCAGTGACCCCATTTCCCAACTAAAAGCAATTCCCCTGAAGTCAGGGGTGCTCAACCCTTGGCCTGCAGGTCTGATCTGCCCCCCTGGCCCAATGATATCTGCAGGGCTACCCACAGATCTATGGGGAACCCTGTGGGCTGTGGCCCTGCACAGCAGATCAGGTGTGCAGGGTGAGATGGGTTCAGGTGGGGGTTGCTGGAGGCCCCCAGAGCCCAGTCCTGGCCTCATCTCAACCATGGACCAGCTGCGGACAATCAATGCTGTGAGCACCTCTTCACACAAGGCTATGGAATTTGTACATGGGTTTGGGGGGCGGGGGGAAGGAGGAGGTGCCATTTACTTCCCAGCTTTTCTGAATCTTGCTTTAAGCACAAAGCAACAATGAAACACATTTTAGAGAGCTTTTCCATGGTTGTTTATTACAGTTTTCTTTTTTGGGGGTGGTGGTTTAAACATCTGTGCGGTAGCTTAGCCTCAGACTGAAAATTAAGACAAAAAAAAAATCAACCAAACTAGAGGGCTTTGAGGGTAGGCAAGTCAAGATGTACACGAGTTCTTTAGCCAGAAGGCTGTTTTATTTTTTTTTTTATTATATATATATAAAATGGAAGATGGAATGAACATGTAAAAATCAGTGATTGCTTCTCTCTCTAAACTTAAAGGATAAATATTTTTTTTTGTAGGGAGACAGGGTATTACTATCTGTTCATTAGATATTCATTAAAGCACTTTTTCTTAATTAATTTCTTAATTTTTTTTAATGGAATGTAACTAGTATTTGTCATTGAGATGCACAGTCCCTCATTGGACTTAAGGTCTCTAAGCATAAAACTCCATCCACATAATTCTTGAAAAATAAATAACTAGCTTTAAAATTTTGCATTTGCTAAAACTGTCAGCTTCACCCATGTACTTAACAACATTAGTTTCTCTCTCCCTTATGCAAGTTTAAAAATTTCAACAAAGCCTAGAAATTCTTTAGGCAAACTTGTTTATATTAAAAAGTTACAAAAAAACTTCTCTAGATGTATTTTTAGTCCATCATACTGGCCAAGTACAGACAGTCAAAAAGCTGGAGGCTGAACCGATTCAGCCTTTGCCACTTAGTCCAAGCTGCATGGATTGAACCAATAAGCAAGTGAACAGACATTCACTTTTGATTTCGGAAATGCAGCTATATGCCTGTGGTGGCCCAAGCAGCATACCTCCCTACTCAACCAGAACAGACAGCTTGGGCCAAAGCTAGCCCACCCACCCTGCAAGGAGGGCAGGTGCAAAGCATCCTGGGATGCTGGGGGACTGAATTAACTTGAATCTGGAGGGGAACTGGGACAGAAGTTCAATAAACTAAATTTAATCTAAATCAGTTAAGTCTGATACTACATCCATCCAGATTTATCTTAAACCAGTTTCAGCCATTTGGAACTGCATTATGTGCAGTGAATTTCTGTTTAACAGATTTGAACTGGTTTCTGATTGCTTATACCAGTGTGTGCAACTTCTGCCCGTAGCCATTAAGACGTAAGACTGTCTTGAACACCACACTACAATTTGAACTGATGAGTATAAAGTTTTACACTTAAACCATTTACCTTGGTCAAAAAAGGTATAAAGCAATTATGAAACCTGCACTTCTAGGGTCCCAAATGTCACAACTAATAAAAGAAACTGACAAAACTCAAAATATTAAGACAAGGAATAGAAGTCACACAATCACTAGTGCATTGATTGAATCACTTTCACAAAACTAATAGCCATACCACCAAAGAACCAGGATTTCCAATAAAGTGTTTACTGAACCCTATTACAGAGTTTTGATATTAAATCTTAAGCCCTCTCTGCTAACTTTTCAATTGAAATACTATTAGTACTTACTCAAGAAGGTGCAATAAAAAACCCACCTTCTTCTTCCCTGCCACCCCCACTTCCCTATTCACAATGTTTTATTTTAAAGCAATGTTTTACTCCCTACTTATAAAACTTACTGAGTAGCAGTCTGCAAACTTTGAAGGCTGCAGGCTGAGCCAACCCAATCCACAGCACAGCACAAGTGGCATTGGCACTGCTCCCCCAGAGGAGCATGGGGAGAGTGCTAGCAGCCAGTGCTCTGCCCTATGGCAGCAAGGGGAAGCCACTGACCCCCATGTCAAAAGGTTCCACAGGCTGGATCCAGCCTGCGGGCCACAGGCTGCCAATTCCTGACACAGAACATTAGAAGGCCAATAGTGTTCTCCCACAGTATTTTGCTTATATTCTAATAGGATGTTAGAACTAAGATTTCAATGGAAAAATATCAGAGAAAGAAGTCTGATGCTTTGCAATTATGGCATAAAAATGTTCTGAATCACTACGCTTTTCCCAATGCATCTTTCTAAGCACCAGTACTAGACTTGCACAACTGGGAAGGAAGGGGTACACTGATGCTGGTACAGGTTTAGTTTCCTACGACAAAGCAGTAATTAAATACTCAGCACCGTCCTACTCTCAGTTCTGCTTCTATGGATGTTTTAAGTGAAACAATATGATACTGCAATCATAGGCATGAAGTCAGCCAAATGTAATTAAGACAAACAGGTTGTTAATAGATGCAGCTTTAACCATTATCTTCTAGAATCCAATACCTCAGGCACAGGAAACTCAAGCTTTGCACAAATCAAGTCCCATGGTATCAAGCACCAAAGAAGCAACTAAAGTAGCTACATGAAAGAAACATGATGAAAAGCTGCTAACATTTCATTAAAAAGGAGGATGACCCAATTAAGCCTACAGGTCCCAATAAATTATTTTGGAGCATTTAAAAAGCTAACTGAAGGCTGTAGCCTAAATCAGCAGCCACATCTCCATGAAGCCAGGACTTCTATAAGCTCCACTGTGATATTTGCCAGTACCCAGTCTGCTTTTTTACTTCCCCAGCCTACACTAAGCCATAAAAATAAAAACAGCATAATTTAAAAATGTCTTTGCGTCCAATGCAAAGACCTCCAGAGTGCCTTAAAATACGGCTTATAGCAGGTATATAAACAGTCTTTTATTCTAAAGGATTTCAAATTATTTGTGGGGGCAGAAGGAGCAAAAAGAGAACAGGAACAGATCAGTTCCTCCTCAAGATCAAATACAGGCTCCTTAGACAGGTATGCTACCACCACAAATCCAAGAGAACACTTCTTTGGAACAGGAAAAGGCCTTTGCAAATAAGTTTGCTGGAGGAAAAGATGCCATATCTGAAATTATTGCAATGAAGACTAGCAACCTTGCTCTTGCAATGAAGTCTTCAATTTAAAACACACAAAGCCATCATGACCTCAGTTTTAAGTTGCGTTTAAAAAGACAGCATTGTCCAACAACAGAACAAGCTAAAACATACTTGGGCATGACTCAGAACAGAGCTCTACTGAATCACACTTCAGTTTTCACATCTTCAGGTCTTCCCATTTAAACACTATCCTTGCACAAACCCGACTGATTCATACCACCTGACAATCACATACCATATGGTAGTATGAACTACCATAAATGCATGCATAATAGGTGGTCAATTAATAGTGAGAGACTTAACATGAATGTAAGAAAGCCTATAGTCAGCCAAACAATTCTTGGATGCAAGATTTTTCCTAGCAGCCAGGGAGAATTAAGCCTGCATCATACAACAATACAAACAAATTTCTAGAAAGTCATCAACTCTCTCATTCTAGACTTGTATTTTATGCTGGAGGCCTTTTTCTCTTTAAAATTTTCTAAAGGTCCTTCACAACTTTCAAAGCCCATTTCACTTCTGGGAGAGAAAGCAGGCTCTGTGACCCAGCAGAACCTCTTCCCTTACAGAGGTAAGTGTGCGCAAGTCATATGAATGAATGAACGGAGGGGGAGGAGGGGAAGAAGAAAGAACACATGGGGGAGAATAAAGTACAAAACACACAAATCTACCCCAGGGAATAGGAGGAAGTGATTTTATCAATACAAGGGGAAAAAGTAAATTTTCTTAAGTAAAAATGTCAGTGTTACCAAGAAATGAGTTTAACAAAGCAAGACCATTTATATAGAAGGCATGTTGAACTCATACATGCATAAAAATTCATGAGTGCTAACTTCTACCCACACACAGCCAATCACTGAGTTCAGACATACTCCATGCCTTAATGTCTACACAGTCTTGGATGTGGACTGAAGGATATTTCAATCAAGGCTTTAAAAATATTTGCATA